GGATTTTACAGTGTGTGAGTTAACCACACACCATCAATGATATAAACAATCTTTGATTTGATTAGATGGCTGATTTTTAATAAGCGTATCATATTGGAGGGAATATACAGTAAATACCAGCTGGCACACCGACCTTGAAATCATTGGGAACTATATCCTCACTCACAGCAACAGAAGTTGATATTTTTTCATTGTTCACCAAAAACAGCAGCAGGTGCACCAACAAACTTTGTGACTCTGTAAAAAAAAAGAAGAATAATTACACTTTGATTTACAGTGCTCATAAAGCTAGTGGCCCCGGGGCCTCGTGGGAGCCACAGTGTGTTCTCTCATGACTGATATTAGAGCGTCCAAACCTCATTTAATTCATTAAAAACTCACTTCTCTGCAGCAGGAGCCGGACTTAACGGGTTATCATCACTCCAGCAGTTCCAGTCATGCTCGGTGTTCGGCCCTGGTTGCCATATCGTCTGCAGGGGTTGTTGGTTCGATGTAAGAGCACATTTTATGACTCTTAAATGCAACTCCAGCAAGAGAGACCTGGTGGTCATTAAATAGTTCTCTCCACCTTTGTGGTAGTAGAGGCAGGACGAAAAAGAACATGAGAAGTATTTCTGAGTATTTCGTAGAAGTACTTCTGACGTTTGTGCAGACAAGAGCTTCTCAAACAGCAACACGGAGGATTATGTAGAAGAACCAAAACAACCCATGAACATCAGGTCCCAGTTAAATCAACAAAAGCTTAGCATATGATGCGTAGGTGGAGGTGACAGAAGGAGCTGCAGAAGGCTGAAGGCATGAAGGTTCCACCAGGGTAATAATAGAGAAGTGTCAGTTTATAAAGGTTGCCATATGAACCCATATGAATGGGAGCCCTTGTTACTAGTCAGACGGTTTCTAAGCAGCTGATGAATTCGCCACTGGCGACACATAAACGCTACAGTTAAAGCCAATTAGTTGATAGTTATGTTGTGGGGACTGTCGCAGCAGCGTTGAAGGACGTTACTCTCCCGTCCACCTCTTCAACGTTGCACAACAGCAGCGGAACTCTGGGTCGACCAGATGGGGGGCGACGAAGACGAAAGTACGGTTCATCTTCTTTCTGGAGCCGCCTCATCGCTGCCGGGTGAAACAGCGGCGGACTGCGCTTCAAATCTGTGCTTTTTCTCAGCAAACAAAGGCACAAACATCCACTCTGGGGAAATGCACTTCCTTGCCACTTTGCACTTTACTGTCTACTTGTCGAGTGCTGGATGAGACCAAAAAAAAACAGCTGTGACGGTGAAGAGGACCCTGCAGTGCTTTAATTCACGCGGATGCTTTTTGCACAGCCTTATGTGATGAAAGTACACCTTTTTAAAAGAAATCCAGCTTAAAGGTATTTCTTCGAACAAATAGTCCCTTCAAAGTAAAATCTGAGACCATCAACTTTCTCAGCAGGTCTTGCAATGAAAGCTTCATCGCCCCCAGAAGCTTTTCACGGCCTTGAAAGTCAGATACCACTTTAATCTTTTTATGGTGTCACGGCCGAGGATTAAAGCATGATTGATTCATTTTGACCAACATGCATTTCATCAGATTGTGGCAGTTATCCAACTCACAACTAGTTCAAGTTGTGAAAACTGCCAGTAAAAGGACACTAAAGGTTGTTATCACGGTGAGTAAACTATTTCACAGCACAGACACTTTAACCATGGTTTCTGTAATAATATTGATTAGTGCGGCGTTAAATGTTGAATGGGAGCATCTTAATCACAACGCACAACCTCGGTTTCGGGGCATTAAGCACCTTTTTCTCCGTGAGGCCACTTGGGTGGAGGTCGAGTGGGACTTCCTGAACCCGCCCGCTGTTTAAAAGTTCAATGACATGTACAAAAAAAGGTGCATGCATTTATGTGATGTATTTAACTCAAAATAGACGCCTTTTTTTTTTTCTTGACCATTATGACTCATTATATCATAATGATGGCTTTCAGGCGTCGGCGGGAGGAGGAATGTATATTTTCACTGGAAGGTAAATGGCTGCGAGGGTGACGTGGGACTAAATGCCATCCAGAGTGACATTTGGCTTTTTATTCTTTCCTTCTAAGCGTTCCGCTCAGATCCCCATTAGCGTTCGCCCCGGAGGCCACTTTTCTCGCCACCGCCTTCAGAATTAAATAAAATGTTTGTCGTTATGCTTGACAAATCCTATCTGCATGTTAAGATTTTACCGTCCAGAATCTGCATAGTTGAAAGTTAATGGAAATGGGCTGTGGATTTTAACACTTGTTAAATGTTAAATCGCCCTTATTCACTCGTTTAAAAAGTAGAGGTCTCAACCTTTAAACCACCTGTGCAACTGAATCATATGGAAAAGAGTCATTAAACCTTTAGGTTCCCAATTATTTATCAAGAGTAATTTTTCAGACAGTGATGTATAAATAAGGATGTTATTCAATGTACAGAATTTAAAATGTCGTCGGACGGGATAGTTGGCATAAATCTGTTCAGTCCAGTTCTGTTTTTATAATAAATATGCTTCCTGTTAGTTCCTCTCACTCCTTGAAAATGTCACAGCGGTTTCCTGCTTTTTGTATCATCCCAGTTCAAAAATAGTTGATTTCATTCAACAGAATTTGATAAAACAAAACTTTTGCCTGTGAGCTGATCCGCACCACGGATCTACTAACCGAGGACACGTCCCTCCCACTGTCTCACTGTCTCTTCTTTCCCCGGGAAGGTCTCCGCTCTGCCTGATGTCATCGAACTGCGTGAGCCAGCGAGCCCCCAGCAGGCCCCTAGCGGGCCCCCAGCGAGCCGTCAGGTTGCTACTCATCCACCGCTCGTGTCATTAATATTGCATCTGGAGATGTTCTGCAGGGTCGTAATGGTGAGGAACAGACCTCGTGTTGGGGAAAAGAACACGGATCAATATCCCACCGAGGGGCCAGAACCTTTACGAGGAAAGATGTATTAAATCAATGTGAGGCATTGATATTAAAAAAAAAGAATAACCTGTAATCTGCTTTCAACAACTCCAGCAACAAGCGGGATCCCAACCAGGAGCTCTTGGGCCCCACGAGGAGCTTCTTTTGGATACGTGGGGGGGGATTGCAGAGCAGCTCAACTGGCCTAAAGAAGTAGAAATCCCGAAGGGATCAGGATAAGGGATTAAACTTTGTGTTTGTACATAATTGAATACTCAATTTGTCACATGGCGGGTTTGTCCCGCTATACGGCGCTAAAATAAAAGCGCGGCTAATGATCCTTAAAGGCCGAGGGATGTGTATTTTTCTATTAATTAGCTGCTGCACGCGCCGTTAACCAACTGCAAACACTTGTCAGCTCTGCTGGAAACGAGGCTTTTTATTACCCACGTGTTTGGGTTCCAGGCCCGAGAGGCGCGGAGCGCGGTGCTTACGGTCCGTGGGGGGGCGCGCTTCATCTTCCTGCAGAGGTAGAGGGACCGGGGATGAAGTCAAAGTTTATTGCGTGCCCACAAGGCTGAGGCAGCATATTCGGAGCACAGTTCATCAACGCCAGGCGCTTGTGCAGAGCGGCTAATGGCTGCATCAGTGGGACTCGTGGTTACTCATCTCGCTCGCTGTGACCTCTATTTGTGTTTTTCTGGCTTGGTCCTCCATCATGACTAGCCTGCGTAAGCTGTTCACCTAATGGATGAAAAGCTAAAATAGCTGTCTGACTCAGACCGGTTAAATTAAATATGATGTTGCACAACAACAAACTTCCGTTTTAATTTTGTCAATTTGAATTGCGCGGCGCACACGCACACACACACACACGCACACACACACACTGTGCAGCAAGAGCCTGAATGGCAGATTAATAATAATGTCTGTCTGCAGACTAACGGATCTCTTACCACAAATAAAGTCTGAGGCCCAAACAAAGAGAGGGAGGCGACATCTGGAGGGTTTGCGTTTCACCCGCTCCTTGAAAAAGTCTAATTAGCTTTCACGAAATGTAACGCAACCCTCATTATCAAGTATGTACGGACTTTTCCCGGCAAAGTCATCTCAATAGGTCATTTTTGATTGCAGTAGGACATTTTTCCAATTATCTTCTCACTAGCTGACCTCCTGGAGCCCCCCTCTGGAGACCAATATCTAATGTTTGCTTGGGTGATATTTGTGAACTTTATAACATCATGTCATGTTCTTTTTGCAAAAACAAACTTGCAGCTCCAAAAAAAACAACAAAAAAAAACACCTCCTGACCTGGATTCTATTTTTAGATCTGGCCAGACATATTTTCATGTCACCACACGTGAAGCCCATGAGATGAATAGATGCAGATAGATAATAAGACTCCAGGTCTCTGATCGGGAGCTCAGCTGACGTCGTGTTGACTGAAAACCAGGAAGACAGAACCACACCTTTGTGTCCGGGGTAGTTGTGTCACTCCCGAGACGCACAGAAACACACGTGTCTCTACGTCCAAATGAATTTAACTACGGTGACGCTGCACATCGTGTCAGAAATGGCAACTTACCAGAACTATTTCTATAAGAGAAACACGGGAAAAGGAGGATATATGCAGCGCGTGGTTGGTGTCCTTGGTCGTGTCGTAACAGGGAGCCGCGCCGCGCTGCGCTCTGCGCGCTTTCCCACAGACGCAGTTTGCCATTTGAGCGCAGCGCAGCGCACCGCGGAGCGCGCGGCTCGGGACGCACCTGGACGGCATCAGGTCCGTCCACGCGCACGCACGCACGCACCTACACACACACACACACACACACACACACACACACACACACACACACACACACACACACACACACACACGCACGCACAGTCTGCTCCGCAACATCTGCCTCGTCGTCAGCGGTGGAGAGCGGCGCAGTCTGAACCGAAGCGCTTGTGGACTCCGGCACAAACCGGTCCATCTGCATCTTTTTTTTTGGGTCGACGAGAACGGAATCGGTTGTCTTTCGGGGGACCCCCGGGGGACCGTCTTGGTGGGTTTAAACTGCGACTTCCAAGGGACGCTGAAACTCGGTGGGGGGGGAGGAAAGAAAGAAAGAAAGAAAGAAAGAAAGAAATTGCGCGCGGATCGCGGCGCGATGTCCCGCGAGGGAAACTTAACGGGATGCTGCGGATCCGAGGAGCCGGCCGGGGGACGAGATCGGCTGCTCACCGGGTGAGTCCGGCCTCCCGGGTTCTCCCCCCTTTCAACAGCACAACAAGACATCTCGATGTTTGTTTTAATGAGACGACAAATTTCCCCCCCAAAAAATGGTCAAATGCGTTGTGGGCCATGCGGAGGGAAACGGAACGGAACCAGCGCGTTTCACACACGTGACTAACTTCTTCCACGTATTGGTAATATCCCACAATTATTCTCAATTACTGCGTCCACAAAGGTGTACGTGTTGTTGAATGGACTCGTGTCCTTCTTGTACTTAATTCATCTTATTACTATTGTTACATATTGGGCTCACTAACCTTAACGTAACTCTCCTCACATATTTCATCACGTTTGTCTTTGTCTCCCAACAATGTCCTTTTGTTTTAACCTTTTGTGGGAGCGTATCCCTGCTGTGCCGCTGCTTCCTTCCTCCAGCAGCCCAAACACGCACCTTTCCACAGCATTGACCATCGACATTCACCTGTCAGCATCTGAGTGCATGACTTTTACCCGACGCACACACGGAGGGGCTGTTTAATCCTCGTGCTTCTTCTCCCCTCTCCCGTTCCTGCATCCATCCTCCAGCCTCTGTGCCGGGATCCTCCACCTGTTGACACGTGGAGATGAATGCGCTCCTCCGCGGTGAATTGGGGCCAAAGCACGGAAGCCCGGCCTCAGTGGCCCCTTGAAACCAGGGAGGACAAACTAACGAGGACAGATCACGTAGGACGTGCACTTCCTCCAATTGGTCCTCCTGCTGGAGGTGAGCTGATGGGGAGGCGGCGCGGCGCCCTTATTGTGTTGCACAGACACGTAATAAGAATGGAAAATAGAGGAGCGGGAGAGCGTCGACGGGCTCTGTGTGTGTTAGTCTGGTGTTTTCTTTCCTTCGTGTTGGGCTGTGATTTCTACACCCCTGCGTCCTGATGCCTGAGCCTCCGCACAACCAAATAGATCCGATCCCTTCCAGCAATTCATTCAGCCCATTGTCTCCTCACACGTTTGTTTAATGCAGCTCTTTCACTCCACCGGTTGAGGGTCGACTGGCAGGCTTCAAGCTCAGGTTTAAATTCATTTCAATTGGAAATTGTCGTGCCGGTTTTGAAGGTTTTGAACAGCAGCGCGTGAAAGTGTTGAGTTCTGGTGTCTAATTGGGGAGGCAGATGAGGTTGACGTAGGAACTACTTTCTGTCCGTCATACAGTTCCTCCTTGAAGCTGCTCACAGCAAAGTCTTTAGTAGCAGGTTCAGGATTTCTGCAGAAAGACACTGCTGTTTGGGTTTTTTTCTGCAGATGTTCAGGTATTTTTATCCACACTGCTCTACAAGCCCATTGTCATTACGGCACATTATCTTTGAGAGACTGATATATATATATATATATATATATATATATATATACTCACACCAAAACAAGCTTGATTGATAGATAACACTAAAGGTAAGAAGATATTCTAAAGGTGAGCTGTCCCCTTAGGACTGCAAGTAATATTAAAAGGGTTTTAAAAGAGTTGTCCTTTAAAATGTCCGTCTCCCCGGGGAAGACCCGTGCTTCAGGCCTCTTACGAGGAGGAAGCCCGAGTGGGAAGGCAGACGTCTCCGTCACGCACAAGTTGCACGTTTATTCAAAGTGGCATTTAAAGGGTATTTGCATGAGCGGCAGGTGGTGAAAGAACAAAGCAGAGTTCAAAAGTACACCGCATTTCTTCACCTGCTATCTGGGATGAAAGGAAAGACATGAATCCCCCCCCTCCCCCCTGGGGAAGGAGGCTTGTCTTTTACTGACTCTTCCGTCACGGATTCGGTGTCAGAGACGCCGCCTGCGAGGCGTTCAGGGTCACGGCTCTCTGGCAGAAATCATTTGTGATGAGGATGAAAGGAAACACAACTTGACATTATTGAATGTACTTCAGTCACCCCGACTAAGGGGCATGAGGGTGATGTGATGTGCTCGGAGTGGACGGCAATGTCTCAAATTAGAAAAACGCATTTGTGAATCACTGCGTTGTCGTTAGTGGGCAGGTGCATTTGTTGTCATTGACTTGTTGTCTAAATTGAATACGCTGACCGTGTATTTGAAAGAAGAATTGACATGCAGTGCACAGAGCAGCCAGTCTTTATGCTAAGCTACGCTAACCATCAATCCTCGATCCTCTCACGTAGCGAGATAAGCAGTGAGGACCCAGCACACTAAACTCCTCGCAGCCCACCCGAGGGCGCAGCTCTTTGCCGAGTCGCTGCTGAGGGTTGGAAAACGATTGGCCTCACAAAAGAGGAGAAAGCTCGGGGGGGTAGCTGAGGGGGGGGGGGGGGGGGGACGTGGACGGGGTCCCAGTCTCGTGCGTTTGTTGTGATGATGTGCCCGTCCCTCCCTACGCCAGCTGCAGCGCCGCGGGTCCCCGCTGCAGCCTGTGACATCCAGTGTAACGATAGCCCCCGACGTGTTAAGACGCCGCGGCTTCACGAATGTGACATTGAATCCGAGCACTTCTTTAGGAAGACGTGAAAAGAGGATGTTCACTCAAACGTCTCGGTGTTTGATGAAGAGAGTGATGAGACCGGACCGGGTCAACGGTTGGAGATGGAGTCAAAGACTTGAAAAGCAAACTATTTGGTTACTTAATACTACTAAATACTACTTGGAATCCTAAACTCTGGCTTTTGATGGCATTCCATAACGCGTACAGGCAATAATTAGTCCTAAAAACAGTGAAATCGACATTGTGATGTTCATTCACCAGTTTATTTTGTCTTTAAATTGTCTTATTTCTGAGCCCGGTGTTGCAGAAAAAAAACAGCTCTATTTATTTTTTTCAGCTTGGGGTTCAGACTGCAACTTGACATCTAGTTGTTTTCTTTGATCTTCCATTGCAATTAAAGTCCGCAGAAGAACACTTTGACTCGCGGCTTGTCTGCAGCATGTGTTTACACTCAGGCGAGAAAGGTAATGAAAAGCAATCGAGTAGGAACTCTGTGGATCACTTTCATAGACTGCTACCTCTCCTCTGTGAGGTCTGCATGTGCTTCACTCTGTTGCCGCTGCAAGTCTTCAAACCACATCCAGTGAAATAAGCGTTTGTAGGCTCGATCGCGCCCAACGAAGAGGCCCAGCTGAACAAACCGACTCTGATCATTTAACCACTAACATATAAACCGAACGTCACCAAACAAATGAAATTCCTGCCCTGTGGTTCCCTGCAGGGACCTGCTGCGTTGCTGAATGGCTGACGAGCTCCCCGGCACCTCACGTACCCTGTGAAGCCCCCCGCCCCCCCGCCTCGCACCCCGCATCGCGCCGGACGGGGTCCCCCGGCGAAGTGGGCCGTGATGTACCAGGAGGTGGCCTTCCTGGCCGGCAGCAGCGAGCACCAGTTCACCCCCTTCCACTTCAAGCCCGTGGAGAACCCGCAGGAGGTCCAAAGCAAGAAGGGGCTGTTCTACAAGCGAGCGCAGCTGCTGCTGCCGCAGCCTCAGCGCCGCCAACAGGACGGGGCCGAGGGCGGCCCGGGCGACGGGGCGGCCATCATCAACGTGGGCGGGATCAAGTACCGCATCCCCTGGTCCACGCTGGAGGAGTTCCCCCTCACCCGGCTGGGCAAGCTGAGCGGCTGCAGCAGCGAGGCCGAGATCATGGACCTGTGCGACGACTACGACGGCAGCCGCAACGAGTACTTCTTCGACCGCAGCCCGTCGGCCTTCCGCACCATCGTCTCCTTCCTGGCGGCGGGGAAGCTGCGGCTGCTGCGGGAGATGTGCGCCCTCTCCTTCCAGGAGGAGCTGCTGTACTGGGGGGTGGAGGAGAACAGCCTGGACTGGTGCTGCCTGCGGAAGCTGCGGCTCCGCCAGGAGGAGTACAAGGAGCTGCAGAGGCTGGAGGAGGAGGAGGAGGCCGAGCTGACCTCGCCGCGGTCCCGCGAGGAGAGCCCGCAGCCCCCGGGGGCCGGGCCGGGGCCGTCGCCGCCGCCGGAGGAGGAGGAGGCCCAGGCGGGCGGGGGCTGCATGCGGAGGCTGCGGGACATGGTGGAGAACCCCCACTCGGGCCTGCCGGGGAAGATCTTCGCCTGTCTGTCGGTGGTGTTCGTGGCCATCACGGCGGTGACGCTGTGCGTCAGCACCATGCCGGACCTCAGAGAGGAGGAGGAGAGGGTGAGTGCCGCCTGCGCAGCGCTCCACTCCTTTAATTGCTTCTTTTTTTTTGTTTTGCTCATAATTTCATTTCAAACGATCCAAAAAGTCCCGGCTCGTATCTGGCTGCCCGTATTTCGTTTTTTCTTTCTTTTCGGAATGAACCCCGACGGTTATTGGATGCGAAATAATTCAGCCCGGCGAAAGCTGCGGCACTCAAATAATTCAGCTGCGACTCAAAAGGGAAGCATCTCCCGCTTTTTAATTTTAAAAGGCAAATGAACAATTTTAGAAAATTGAAAGGAAAAAAAAAACAGGCTGCAAAGTGATATCAAATGTAATGTTTCCCCCAGAGTGAAGTAAAGCGCTCTCACACACACACACACACACACACAGAACTATTAACTTAGGGAACCTGGCACTGAGGACCCCTTTTTATTCCCAGCAGCCTCGGGGGTGTCAGTGCTCTACAGCTGCTACAGTGGAATTGAGATTATGTTGATGCAGCGTCCCACATACAGAGTCGTCCTGGTGTTTTTTATGGTGAATCATCGCGCCGAAGACTCAGGGACTCAGAAGCTTCTTTCACTTGAATGGCGGATCATTGCGTCGACTGCTTCTGCAGCTTAAAGGAGCAACACAAGACCCGAGTTGTTGAGTCGTGCAGGCGGTGATTGACAGCGAATACGCAGCACGAGGAGGAAAAAAGGCTCCGTGTTTATTGATACATCTTAAAATGAAGCCTGTCCTGGTTTTGTATCTCAGGTCTCTGTTTTTGCAAAATTCTACAGATATTCTTCCCCGTGTATTTAATTCGACCCGCTTACAAAAATGAATACGAAATGGGATCAACTGAATGTTAAATGAGCTCATTATTGTTATATAACACGATGATTATGCAAATTATAGCCATGCAGTTAAAGGCTTGATTGCCCAAAGCATCTCTGGACCAGCTGACCAGTAAACATATTGGGAGGTTAAAATGGAATGTTCACTTTGACGCTCCATAGATCCTTTCTAACTCTAAATGCTACATGGCATTTTTTTCGGAAAGCTGCACTCCCAACATTCGCTAAAACATTTGACCCTGAACAACCAGAAAAAACAGATTCCTCTAAATTCAACATTTGGGAAAGAACTCAATCCACTTGTTGCTGGATGTTCACCTCGATGGAAGAGAGGTTTTGCTCCCACTCGCTGCGCACGTTGTCTCATTCTGTGACACAAAAAGCATATTTAAGCATATTAAAGCCTACGATGTCTCCCTCCCGAGATCTTTGATGCCCCCCCCTCCCGGCCTCTAGAGTATGATTAAAGAAGAGCCGTCAAACACATATCTTCATCACCAGGCGGGGGGGGGACGTTCATGTCAGCATGAACTGTACAAGCTTCAAAGGGAAAATCTATCAGGAAAACAAAGCGGGTGAAAGCTGAACAAAGAACAACTTAGACATCGTCTCATTTCATCTCCATCAAGTGGCATCGGTCATTACGCGCCTGCATGGAGCCGCCGCTTTGAATCGGAGGAGCCACGGCAGTGATTCAATGTTTCAGAGTCTGGGCGGCTGGAGAAAGGTGTCACCGTGGCACCAATTAACCACCCGGAGGTGTCCTGAAGTACCGAGCCCCACTCGCTCCTCCTGCAAGGGAACGTTAGGTGGTGGCGGTTCATTAGAAGTGAGAAGCCAAAATAAGTGGGCAAACGCTAAAGCCCAGGGGGTTTATGGGTATAATGAGGCGGCTCTGTCATCCTTTGAAAACCTCCCAATGAAGGGAGGCAAACCGCAGCCTGACGCTTATTTTCAAATACCTCGACGGCCACAAACAACGCGCTCCGGCGCAACTAAAAAAACGCTTCCCTAAAAGCGGCGTGAGCGCGAGTTGCTCTGCGTGTGACACAGTAAACGTTCCCCCTGTTTGGTTCCCCGGCAGTTCGAGGTTTGAGTGCGGCGCCGCGGCGTCTCCTCTCCTCGGGGGCCGCGGCGGCGGGAAGAACTCGGCCTTTCGATTTCCGTCTGAAAAACGCGGGTCAGCGTGACGCGAGTGGGCCGGACTTCCTGCTTTGTCTTCGTTCGCGCGGTTGTCAGGCGATGAAGCGTTTCAGCAGCTCAACCCTCGCATTCAGCTCAAATCGGTGAATCGCTTTCGGCTAATTGCCGCGTCTCTTTAGGGGAGGTCCGCCCACTCGCGCTCCCCCATTACAGAACTTATCCCAATATCCATTAGCTTTGATAGCCAAGCAGATCCTCCCCATAGCAATGAAACTAATGAAATGAGCGTTCCCAGTCCGGAATATCAAACGTTGTGTCATTTTAATGTCGCCTGACGTTTGTGAGACTTGGGTTTCGTCTCCACAGTTTGTGCTGAATGAAGGAAGCAGCGTCCATGAGAAACACACTGGCTGCTACGCCTGAACAAACCGACCGAGTCTACTCAACTAAACGCACGGCACTCATTTATTATTCATTCAAACCTGCAAAAATGAACTTCCTGTGCAGTTTGAGGCATTTCAAATACGCTTTGGACACCACGTACGTCTTTAGGCTTATATGACATGTCGAGGATATAAAGCGGAGGTCTTTTCCGGCCTCCCGGCTCGTCTGTTTGCCGTTCAGCAACTGCTGAGGGAAAAATGAGTCTCTTTAGCTGCTGAGGGCTCCGATGAGTCCACCAGCAGGTTGTCAACGGCGGCGCCGCCTGTGGCGAGGCAGGTGGCGTGCGGACGTTTTTATGAGAGAGCACATAAAAGAAGAGCGGATATGAAAATAGAGGCCGAGGTCACCCCGAGGTCACACGCACAGCGGTGTGTTGACTGGTAAATGAGACATCTGACGGACAGAAAACACGATGTAAAAGATCTGATATGAAAACAATAAAAGGATTAACGTTAAAAAGGACGCATTTGTCTTCACGACAAAAAACGTATCAAGTTTAAAGTAAAGGGCCAAAAAAAACGGTGCTAGCGCGCGGAACTAACAGCATACGGCGAAAAAAGTTTCACGTTTCCATTCGCGGTCACGCCACGATGCTCTCAGTTGTGGATTCCGCCCAAATTAAATTGCACAGCGGGGGGGAAGTAACGCAACCTAAATCCAGGAAGCGTCCATTTTAATGCACTTGAGGAGGGAGTTCGGCCAGAAAAACAGTTTACAAAGATCCTCCTGCAATAAAAAGCACTTAGCCACGCTTTGGACGCTAATGTGGCTCTCAGAGAAGCATTTGGGGGCTAAGAGGCCTTTCTCCTCCCCTAACACACAACCACACAGTACAAAAAAAAGAGCCCATATTGCATTACGCGTTTCACGGCCGCTCTCTGCTCTTTCCGGATGAATAGCGCATTAAACATCTGGCCCGCTGTGTTCACTGTCTTCTTGTCCCATTCGTCTCCGGTGGGAATGCGGATCCAACCTCTCGCGCCGCCTCGGGGCCCGACACACTCCACCTCTGATGAACATCCCATCCGCTTTAAAAGTGCAACCTCACCACGGGGGGGGGGGGGGGGGGCTGACTTACATCTGAGCGTCTACTACGTTCCACCTTTCACCTGCACGGGCCCCTGAGAGCCTCGACGGGCTGCTGCTTTGCCACCTGCTCCCAAACCCGCTTGAAGGTTAAATAACCGAACGTGTTTCTCCAACCCGTCGGTTTGCTTTCTGTAATTGCTCTTCCCTGCGGAGCAGCAAGCAAACCAGCCGAACAGCCTCTCAACGCATGAGGGGGGGGGCATCACTGACTTTATCAGAAAACACTTCTCCTGTTACCGTAGAAGCATTTGCATTAGCAAACATTTACACCCGGAGCCGTCCGCCTGCCGTTGACTGATGATACTCAATAATTCAAGTATATTTGAATACGCGTTTTCCCGGTTTAACCACAAAGGAAGCACTTTGCTTGTGTGGCTGTTGAGAATATCGACCGATGAAGCTCCAAGTGTGAGGAAACCGCTGATATCGAATCGGGTCCCAGGAGACTGAAACTCTCTCGTTGTGTCAAATCCATGCTGATGGAAGCCGTTGGTTTCAGCCCGCTTGCCCAGAAATGTGCTCCCGCGAGCCCCTTTTACTGATGACTCCAAGAACACTGTTCATAGCATGCGCTCGCTTTGGGAACGGGGGGGGGGGGGGGTCAGAGCTGGAGACGCACCTTTGTCAGGCTGCAGCCATAATTATCGATGGTATTATAGATTGCGTCAGATCAGATGGAACTATAAAGACGCCCACGGGGGAGAACAGGAACATAAATATCTGCTGCTGGTTTGCAGCCGGAAGAGGACGGTCGGTCTATTCAGCTGCTGCTATTGTAGAAACAATGCGTCCATGTGCAGGCTGTTACCGCAGCGGGTGACCAACAGGTAACGTGCATGCATCACGTTGTGCAAATGAGAGCGCGTCTTCTAAAAGCTGCTTCATGTTGAAATGAACAAAACATTTCTGCTCCGCAAAGTACAGCGAGCATCTGTCCCAAAGCTCTGGAGCCCTGTCTGAAGAACCACGAGTAATAAATACATATTGACGAGCAACAAAACAGGCTGACGCCGAGATCAATGCCCACGTGTGTGTGTGTGTGTGAGTTACAGCAACGTTTTCAGGCCACTGAAATAAATAAATAAGTATCTCTGAAATGCTTTTGATCAGACTCCATGTCGGTGGTGGATTAGATTCCTTCTTCTTGCCAAAGATGCTGTTTTATTAGATGCTTTAAAAAGTTCCAGAGACAGTAATCATGCTTATGTAATTATTACCTCTGGGTTTGAGCGGAATACTTTGTCTGCTAATTATGATTCTGCAAGCTAATCAGACACACAAACACACACACACACACACGCACACACAGCAATGCACTGGAGGAAAGTCACAGAGCCACAGTGGGGGAAATAACATGATATAATTTGGTCATTCTGAGAAATGATTGCACTCACAGCACGTCGCTAAGCTATTAACTCAGTGGGAACATCAATCTTATTTGTTATGGTTTGTGCCAATTCACTTGAGTGAGCTTCTATCTGCTCATATCCCCCCCCCCCCCCCTTTCCTCTAACGTCACACACCTCAGTCATTTTAAGGTTGTGCGGGCAGAATTAAGACGAGGGTGCGCTGTGTGAGTGGCACGAGGCCGTCATTCGGGGTTATGAATACATATATATATATATACATATAACTAGGTCACGTGACTATCAACGAAAATTCTATTATGTGTGAAAAACACAATATTTTAAGAAAGCATCAGCATTTGTATGCATTTCGATGGCGTTTCTAGCGAGAAGTATGCGTTATATCTTCATAATCTTCTATCAGAGAACGTAGAAGACCTTCTGTTTATTAGTTTCTAGTGACGTAGTTGCAAGGCAATGTCAATGAACGGGCCGAAATAAAACGTGGTATTCTCATGCTTTTGGGGAGAAAGCGTGAGAATACCACGTTCCACAATCGCCTCACGTATCCGAATATGGAAATAAAGGAAAGTCACACCCTCCACGGCACGGTGACCTTTCCGACATTGAAATAACGTTTATTACAGTTCCTGCACATCCAAATCCACAAAGAGCCTCAGCTGTAAATGTAAATCACAATGGTGACGACATTTTCATGTGTCTCATGCAGTGGATACGACGTCCCCACAAGGGACCAGCGTGGCTGTGCAATTTACCACAAGGATTCTCTTCACGTGTAAAACGGTTATTTAACATGTGTATTTATACACCGGAAGCGTTCAAACTGAATCCCAGTGAGGTGGATGAATAAATTAAGAGCCCGCTCGTGCCCCCGTCGCCCCCCCGACAGAGAGCGATACAAATACGCTGGTCGACGTACGAGGCGGCGGCAGACGGGAACAGGCCCGCAGGCCCGTGAAAGCCAACGGGCCCGGCGAGGAGTTGGACACGGGCTCGTTTATTGGTCCTGGCTGGATGTGGGCTCGTTGTTCTGGACGTGGAATGGACGGCGTGCGGGTTGGAGGGAGGCCTCAGAGGTGGATCGATGACAGAAAATAGGCCAGTTATTTGGCAGCGGAATGAAAGAGCCGTTACTGAATATATTTCTATTGCACAAATGACTGTCGCCTCTATAATCCATCCAAATGTTTTTGGCATTTTCGAAATGGGAGAATAAAAACGAGACAAACTATTGAGCTCTTATGCCTCACAGTTACTTTGTCATTTCCCACTTCTAAGTGAGGACACATATGCTTGGATCTATGCTGTGCTAAGGACAGAACTTATCGGTCATTTTAACTCAGTGGAGACTCTATATTATAAACTTATATTCTATGTGTTTCTACCCCTCAGCAAGCCGACCAAACCGAAGCTGTGCGCTGCAGGCGGATCTGAACAAGCCTCCAGTAAATCTGCAGAAACGCAGCCAACAACGCACGTTTCCGTGCAGCCAAATGCACGTCGGCGTGTTAATAAATTGTGATTCTGTCCGACGGCTCGAGGAAAGGCCGCTCCAGGCCTGCAGGTTTCCGTCACAGAGTTCAAGTTCAATCGGCTCTGAATGTTTTGCATTACGCGTTTCATCTGATTTACAAACGCAAGAAATCCTCGTCCACGTCGGTTCGTTTCTAATCGTTAATAACGGCCTTTAATTTCACTTTGAAACCGGTGTGGTGAGACTTAAAACATCTGAGGGGAAAGGCGTCTCTGTTTTACTCTGCAGGACATCGTGCTGCATGAGTCAATCCCACTTCTGATCACCGTGACGACTTTTCCAAACTCCACCGTTAATTGCTGCCGGCGTGTGAAAAGCTGCAACTCCAGATGTGCCGATCAGCGACGTGCGTGGACTAAACTTTACTAAATACTGAAAAATGCAGGAGTGGCTGTCGGGGGGGGAGGGGGGCTTCCTTCCGTCAGTTGGAATGACGTCTCCGTGTTCATTGAGCAGAGGCAGATTTCGGGGGCTTTTGCATTCCCCCCTTGGAGCTGAACTTTAAAAACCCAGCGTGCGCGTTGGAGACCCCGTCGGCTCGCTGACGTCATCGCGTGCACGGCAGGGAACTCAGTCCCATGTTCCATATCTACTTCTCTGGATTATATAACATTTCAAAGAGATTTTAAAGGGTTTTTCAGATTCTAATTAATCCACAAATAATTCATTGAGTGTTGTAATTAATAACACTTAATTAAATGCAGAAATATGAAAAGCACACACTTTATTTTCTGGGTTCTCCGGGCGGGGGGGAACTTTGACTTAATAACCATGTGATCTCTTATAATTATACCCTACAATATTTATGAGTCTTATTTCAGCGTCTTGATAAAACAAAGTATTATCGTCTGAAAAGAGGAGAATATTTCAGCCGTGGTGGCGGAAAAAGGTCCATTGCTGATGTACTGATGCTCGGCTCTCGCTCGCTGGGGTTTGACGCGCGAGTCGGCCGCGTTTTTTTTACTAAACGAGGCAACGCGGAGCCTCCGTTTCTTTACGCCTCATCAATCTTTCAGCACCGTTTCTCTTTGCTCGTGTTCGGCCTCACCTTCCTTGTCGCGAGATCAAACGATCCCCACCTCGTCAGCCGGCGAACCCACCAGTCCGACAGCAGGGCTTTGAAATTCTCACCGCTGACTTCAGGCGCCTCGTCTGAAGCGCCATCCACCTCTGAGCGGGGTGGGGGGTGGGTGGTGTTTGCTGCTGCTTTGCAAACGTAACGTCTTTCCCCCCCCTCCCCCCCCCTCTGCAGGGCGAGTGCTCCCAGAGGTGCTACAACATCTTTGTCCTGGAGACGGTGTGCGTGGCCTGGTTCTCCCTGGAGTTCACGCTGCGCTTCATCCAGACGCAGAGCAAGTGCGCCTTCCTGCGCACGCCCCTCAACGTCATCGACGTGGTGGCCATCCTGCCCTACTACGTCACCCTCATCGTGGACTCCCTGTCCGTTGGGGGGAAGCCCGCGGGCTCCGGGAACAACTACCTGGAGAAGGTGGGCCTGGTCCTCCGGGTGCTGCGGGCGCTGCGGATCTTCTACGTGATGAGGCTGGCCCGCCACTCGCTGGGCCTGCAGACGCTCGGGCTGACGGTGAAGAGTGCACGCGCGAGTTTGGCCTGCTGCTGCTCTTCCTCTGCGTCGCCATGGCCCTCTTCTCGCCGCTGGTGTTCCTGGCGGAGAGCGAGCTGGGCGCCAAGCAGGAGTTCACCAGCATCCCCGGCAGCTACTGGTGGGCCGTCATCTCCATGACGACGGTGGGCTACGGCGACATGGTGCCCCGCAGCATCCCCGGCCAGGTGGTGGCGCTGAGCAGCATCCTGAGCGGCATCCTCCTCATGGCCTTCCCCGTCACGTCCATCTTTCACACCTTCTCCCGCTCCTACCTGGAGCTGAAGGAGGAGCACATCCGGGCGCTGAGGCAGAAGCCGGACTCGCAGGACAGCACCAAGTCCCAGAACAGCGAGGACTCCCAGGAGACGGACAGCTACCACGGCGTCGCGGAGGCCGCCACCTCGTCCATGCGGCGGAGGAGGTCCATGGCCGCTCGCAGGGCGGCTGAGGTTACGGCGTGAGCAGCACACCTCGGCTAAACATCTCAAGTGGAGTTTTTTTCCCGTAGTAGTTTATTAATGACGTGCGACGCCGTCTCCCGTATTGCATATGACAAACCAAATGACTTTGCTGTAGGAGGTACACACATGCACACGATGATGTCAGCGCATTCATTCGCATTGAAGCGGTGCTCATCGATCTACAGCACAACGCGATGGACGATTTATCGGTCAATGGGCTTTGCACGCACGCTGCTGTCGGCATTAAATATCTGGTTTTCTATGCCGGTGCTTGAAAGGAACAGTGTGAGTTTTAGTTGCTGCGTTTGTCTCGTACGTCCAAAGGGAATCTGCTATTGATCCTCCTGAAGCTTTGTGTTGCATCATCATCATCATCATCATCCGGTCAAACTATCACATGTTCTGTAGAAATAAAGAAATGGATATTCATATATATTACCAGATTTCCTTGAATATTGTCTGGCAGCAGTCAGGATACTCTGAAAGAATGTGGCTTCTTCTGTGGAAAACTAATTATTTTTGTCTCTTTGACCGATCCTGAAACCAAATCTAAAAGGTTTGCATGTTTCACTGGTTTTAACCCCCAAAGATCCAATTAAACAGTGAAGAACATTGTTAGAATGATTGAAGCGAAACACACTTATAGGGATGTGAAGTCACAGTTGGACTTTGGTCACTGATACAGCAGCACATGTCTAAACATATTTATAATAATTACTAATTCTAATAATAATATTCCCCGGCTTAAAACATGTCCCCACACGATTGGAAATAACGCTGTTTGGGGATCGAGTGACTTCTTTTGTAGTGACATGAAAAAAACATTTCCCCAAATTATTGTGCGGTTGGAATCTTCAAAGTGCAGTTTAGTTTTTGATGTTTTCGATGTGCCAAACAGGGTGTAAGGACACATTTAATCTGCTTATTGTGAATCACACTGAATTGTCCAACACCAGGGAAATATTACTGTCTTTAAACTATTATCTCTGCAGTATTGCTTTGAATATGAGACATCATTTGAACGGAAAGCCATCTGAAATGGATTTGTGCTACGCGTCATGAATCCGTAGCCTGAGGAACTTCTTTTTGACAAATAAAGATCTTATTGAACACAGTCCAACGTGAAGTGGCTTTAATGTAACAATTTATTATACAAAAGGACTTTGAACCTTAAATATTTTTTCCTACATTTACTTGAAATTTAATTGAAAATACATTTATTCTGTTAATTCATATTTGGACTTTCTATGACGTCTTATACGACATACTGTACAATGACAGTGTACTACTGTTATTTTTATGTCAAACCACAGTATGCGTTGTAATGATGTTCTAGGACTAAAGCTCGACTTAATATTCTAAACTCTGACTTTTTATGAAATACTTTAATGTATTGTATGACTTATTGTCATTTTAAATTCTTTATGAAATCATTATAGCATGTTATAATTGATCAAATACTATTATAGGCCACACTGATATTCTTTCAAGCGCTTAATACTCACTATGACACTTCTATATTTTCATTACACGTTATGCTATTTGATATATATTTTATTACATAGAATACTATGATTTGTATAGTATTAATGATAAATATTAATAATAAACTGCAAAATTATAACACTATGACTTGTGATTTCATGATGACATTAAAAATGACTAATACAAGTATTAGACTTTACTAGCTTTTCATGATATTTTTCAACATAATATTATACTGTGACTTGTCAGCATTTTCCACATACTATGCCTTTTCTACTAGGACGTTTTTTGGACATTGTACTATACATTTTGTATGATACCATAGTTATAATTACTAGACTTCTTTCTATAAAGTTTGATTTCATATACATTGCTTTGTTAGTCATCATAGTATGCTAATAATGTTTATTTGACACACTATGCGGTTACTTAAAAGCGTTCATGTATACTTTGGCTTTTATGACATTTAGGCAAATTAACAGGCAAACATCTTGAATCAACATAAACGTGAACCTATGCGCGACTAGTGAGACACATCTGCAGTAGAAGAGACGGCCTCGATTAACGGGAACTGTAACCTGCTTTAAAAAGAAAACATGAATCTGCATCTGCTTTTAGAAAAATGCTCTTTTCAAATCCTCCTCACATCTACTAGCCGAGCACCAGCGTGGCGTTCTGCGTGAGCGCATTGCAACGCGTTGGTTTCAGACGGCACAGGACCGAAGACGCACGTCCTCTGGTTGGCTTGTCCTTCTTTTGACTTTTTTGACTCTTTTGACAATTGATGTCTGCAGGCCCGACTCAAACCAAACACAAATCCCTCCACGTCCTCTTTATTGTGTGTCAGTCAGTTGGACTCTGGACCGAACATGTGGTTGGAACAGATGGTGATGGGTGTAACTATAGTAACGGGCGAATGGCAGTTCACCAAACATTGTAACGTGGTAAAAATGGCATAAAAAGTGAACATACAAATATTGGCTGCACAGATAAGACGACGCGTAACACGGACGTTAATATGAGATAATACGTCTTGTGGGAAGATCACATGATACAAAGCAAATACATCGGAAACGAAAGTTTGAAGTGAAAAGGTCATTTTGATCCCGATTGTCAGGTATCAACACAAGTCAAGCCCCCACAGCGTGAATAAGCAGCAAGTGCACATCATCTTACACGGAGATGTATAGAAAAGGATAAATAAATAGGGTGACTAAGCAGTTAAGACACAAAAGGTGCACACCCTCAACTCACCACAAGTTGACACCACATGTTGCATTTTGTATATTTGAGAGCGAGGACGTAATTATTCGTCCCGGCCTCTGGAATAAAAGGGAAGTTACAAATCTTCAGGCTGAGGACAGAATCCCCCCCAGAGAGAGATTACAAGTACGATAACACACTTCGCTGTGTGGCTGCTTTTCCCCTCTGAACAGGAAATTAATGTCTTGAGACCAAATGACGAGTACCTGCCCAAAGGAGCAGCACGCGGTGATGTGGAGGCCCGAGAGGGGATAACAGACGGTTATTGGCTTTTCGATAATAATAAACTTGAGACGTTTTGCTGAACAAGTCCATCTGTAAAAACTGTACTGTAGCATCATTTGGCTGTAGCCTCGATTGGCAACGAATCGCTGTATTTATTAATAAGTTATTTCTGTTGGTAACATTGTCCTAAAATCACTTTGGACTAAAAGCACATCCACTCCTTTGGCATTTTGTAAACTTGTGGAATGAAAATGCCGAATGTCCGTAACAGCTCGAGTACAGAACCGCCGTACGCAGCCTGACGCTTCAAAGGCCGATTAGCTCATCGCTGCGTTTCCACCGAGGCCAAACGTGTCGGATCCTTTTTTTCCTTTTTAAGAAGCAACTTTGAAGCCTCGGGGATGTTTGTCTTCTTCTGGTGCTCTGATTGTAGTTTCTTACAATTGGATTCCTTTTGTTAACGAAGGAGATTGATGTCGCCATCTACCCCCCCCCCCCCCCATAACCTGCTGGGAAAACAACAACAACAAAAAAATATTCATTTTGTGCTTCCGGTAACGTTGTGCAACAACATCATCCGGATTGGTTCGTGCATGCGTGTCGCTGTTAACGCCACGTCTGAATGTGTGTGTGTGTGTGTGTGTGTGATTTAAGGCAGAAGGTCCGTGCAGCAACAGTCAGACACACACACCTGCAGAGAGTCACTTCATGTGTTCATTCATGTGCATTAAAGCCTCCACATGCACCGGTGGATTCGAGGATACATTATTCCACCACGCAAGCACACTGCCTCAAGTGCGTGTGCGTCCGTGCCTTATTTATATAAGTGTGTGTGTGTGTGTGTGTGTGTCTCATCTTGCTTTGGCGCTCGTGTGTGTTTATAGACGTCCGCAGCGCCTCTGCAAACGCCACAAAGGATCTCAGAGAGCTTTGGCGCTGGTGGTGTGGGAGACGGTGTGGGACGCCGGCTTCTGCGGGTAGCGGCTGTAGTAATACACCTGGAACAGGATGGTGAAGTCCACCAGCACCTGCAGCAGCCCACACGTCCAGAACTGCACCGGGGCCTGCGTGAGCAGGAAGTAGCCCGTTTTAAAGGTGTCGCCGCTGGTCCACATCAGCACCATCTTGATGCTGGAGACAGAGAGAGAGAGAGAGACGATCACGGTTCGAGTTCAGCTTTACTTACAGAACTGATGGTTCTCTCAACGACCAGAGGAAAATACCTCTATTGGAACTGTGAATAGCTGCTGCCGCTAACGACGTCCTGTTTAGTTAAATAATGTAATTAATGTGCCTCATTAGCCTCTAGTTTATTGATATATTGGGATTGTTGTCGTTTTAACGACAAGGTAACTAGCTACATTTTTGAAAACATTTTGTAATTCTTCACAAATTGCATAAACATTTACACATCTTCTCTTTAATGCTTCCTCAATAGTCACAAAAGAAGAGGAAAAGGAGACAGCTCAAGAAAAGAAAAGCTAATTTGCCACAAAAACAACGATGGGAAACTGAAAGGATGAATATTCTCATATCAAATATCCTCATTAACTCGACATCCTGTGGCAAGTTTCTAAATACAACTGGCAGTGTTTCCGGTAGACAACGAGCCGACGGCCCACGAGACCCTCGATGGAAGCAGTGAGCTGAGGTCTGGTACTAGAAGGTAGAAGTTCCTTTCAGCACAAGCTCGGCCCTCTCGCTCGCTAATGAGGAACGAGGGGAGCAGAAAGAAACCGGGAGGAACCGCGTCCCTCCCCCAGGTCCAAGCACAGAACTGTCTCTGCTCGTAGGGAAACACACACACACACACACACACACGACAGAATGAAGTCAAGTCCACTCAAAGTCCTTAACAGCTTTTTCCACACCAGTTTGTAACAGCGTCGACACACATCTCCACCGCGCTGTGCTGTTTTTGTAAACTTTGGGTTTTTTTTATGCTTGAGTCAGCTTTACGTGATAGAAGGACTGAGCATGCACGCACGCGCGCACACACACACACTTCAGAGGCAACCTGCCTACAAACACACATTTTAAAACGTGGTCGGTCAGCACTGTTGGAACGAGCTTTGTAGAGAAACATTGTTCGCTGGCACGGAGACACGTGCAGCCTAAACGTGTGCACAACGCACAGCGGTTATGACCCCGGCGACCAGCGACGTCTGGCGAGCGAAGCCCGTGTGAGCGCCGCGCTGGGAGACGTGCACGCCTGTACGTACTCCGTACGCGTCTCTGCGTTTACCTTTGAAGGTGTGAACAGATGGACGCTCGTTTCACTTCGTGGCTCTAAAAGGCGTGCGTGTGCTGCAGAGCCAGAAGGGGGAGCAACGTTTTTTTGTCAAAGACGACCTGGAGAAAACGGACCGTGTGGAAGTCGCTTTGTTTATTTACTCCCGATGTTTGCGGAGGTCTCACTCCATGAATCAGAGGCCATCTGCGCGTCCTCATAGTCCGCCAATGACGGCTTGTAGAAGTGGTCATATTAAGCATTTCTTCCAACAAAAGCTCTTCAATCTGATTCGTCCTCTCGCAAAAAAGCTTTGTTTTAATAACCGGAAATGTCCGTAAAGGATGCAGTTAGCAGACCAATCACAGCCTTGCAAGGGGCCCTTGCGTGTCCCTTGCATTTACCTCTTTACCCCGTCTGTTTTTCCTGCAGCTTCACCTCGGCCCCTTTTCGTCTGCAAGGACAATTTGTGCAAACCTTGCGCTTCCTTCCTCTCACTTCTGTTTACCGGCTCTTTCCCTGCAGCATCTCTGGATGTCTCCGCTCGCCTCCATTCATCTTCCCACCAGCTCTTTCGCCTCCCGGCATTTGTTGGCAGGTATCCCCCCCCCCCCCCCCCCCACCATCCTCCTCCTGTCCTCACACTTTTCTCTTCCAGTAAGGACCTTGTTAGCTCTGTGGGGAGAAACCTTCCGGTCGCACGCTTTTCCTTCCTCGCTCCTCGGCAGATGCTGTCTGAGTTCTACGACATGAACCTGCAGGTAATGATGCGAGAGGCTGGATTCACCTTCTCGGTAACGAGCAGGAAGCCCGCTGCTGCCGGCTTTGTTTGCGCTGCTTCGGCTACGTACGGGAGACGCCTCGAGGGCCGAGGTTTATGTTTGGGCTGTTTTAAGACGAGATGAATGGTTTGGCAAAGAACTCAAGCTTTTGTTCTTGGTCTTTACTCGTTTTCCTTCAAGTTAAAGTGTGCAGCGGGTTAAAGCCGTTACAAGGCTCTGGGGCGCTTTGCGGAGCTCGCCGTCCTTTGAAGGCAGCAGCCGGCGGTCTAGAGGTCCCACCGTCCTGTTTTAAGTGTCTGGGAGTGTTTTTTGGTTTTGTTTAACGACGTGCTGTTAACCATCAGCGGGAACCTCTGGCTCTCCAACCTGGGGACCATCGAATAACCGGCACAGACCTGACGGCTATTAACACAGAAGCGTGTCGCGCACTCAGAGACCTCTCATGTGGCCTAATGTCCCCGCTTAAATATCTGCCTGAGGATTTACACGGGTTACAAGTCCAACTTTAGCTTTTTCCACACGTGCGTCCTGAATGGGATCGGAGGCGCTGGACTGGTTGAATAAAATGATGATCAGGACGGAGTCCCGTCTGTTATGCAGAAAGAATACTTAACGGTACGTTGGGTACAGTACACACAGACTTGGGCTCCAGTTACAGCAAAAGGCAAACCGTCCAAAGAGCGAAACCTTGAACGGCGTGCGGAGGGAATGTAACCTAGCAACAGCCCTCCAGACCCAACAGGCTGCGAACGGAGGGACGGGCGCAAACAATGAAGTCAACTGGAATGACGATGTCCTCGTGCTCCAGCGCCGGCTGCTGATTGGTCAAATATGTTGCTGGTTAAGACATAAGAGGAGAGAAGAAGAGTCCGTTTCAGACTGATGCTGGACTGTTTTAGAACTCATTTGGCTGAATATCATAAGTTACAATTTGCGGCGCACAACAATATTTTATCTATTTTATCACAGCGTGCATAATATGTATGTGTTCATATCTCACCACGTGTACCATAAGATCACAATATTGTAGGTGTTTTCCTACTGGATTCAACATGACTAATTAATTCAATTAAAATTCAAATGTCAATGTTACAAATGAAGTTTGGAAGCCGTCACTTATTCGGTTAAAAGCTCCCACATTTTGGATTGAACTTGTTTAGCAGAGGATCATTTAGAAAATCGAAGCGCTTTCCGAACGTTCCCGCTCACGGGGGAGCTGCGGGTCAGGAGCAGATCGCTGGGTTGTTCCTACGCTTCGGTTTGACAGCAGAGTACTGAATAAAAGAATTCTGAATAAAAGTGCTGTTTTAAAAGAGCTCAATGAAACACGAACTGCAGAATAAATAAAAGCGGGTCGCAGAGGGAAGGGAGAGCCCAGCGTGGGGGCGGTCGTGGCCGGTTTAGTGGAGGGGCAGCTCTGCTGGAGCTCCGTTATCTGTCTGCTGCAGAGGGGGGCGGGGGGGAGGCAGAACGTGCGCAGCCAGAAAGCTTTTCATCAGGACTGCGTGCGTCCAACTCACAAGTCTTTCAGCTCGATCGTTCGGGGTTCTTTGTTAATTCATTCTTTCCAGGGGCTCCAGTACCATTTAAAAAGAGCTGTTTTGCCGCGACACAGAATGCGTTTTAAACCGTACCCAGCTTTGACTAATCTTACATCAGCGCCTTTGATTACAGCCTGTGGTTTGATACAAATCAACATTAATGAGCTAAAACGATACATTAGCAGAAGATACAGAAGACAGAATAGCTCGTTATCACATTGACTTTCGGAGGGTTAATCGTCATGTCAGCATAATAAATGGCTGCCAGGATCCAGGTCCTCGTACTGTGGGTCGGACAGGTGCCAGAAAAGACCCAATGAGCGGATAATAGGCCCATGGATCATCCCAACTTACCCGGGAGCCATTCCTCGAAAGCATGAGGTCCAGCACAGCGCCGCCTCACGGACGCAAGTGTTTTCGCCCCCCCCCCCCCCCGGCTCCGTACCTCATGCCCTCCGTGCACTTGTTCTGGTAGTTGCGGTAGAGCTGCGGCGTGCCCAGCATGGCCTCGGTGAAGACGGCCAGGAAGCCCAGGCTCTCCACGAACAGCGCCGAGTCCAGGAAGAGGTAGGTGACGTAGGCCGCCGTCAGCGTGAAGGCCAGCACGCACTGCATGTAGTCCAGGAAGCGGCTCCACAGCCAGAAGTAGCTCCAGTCGAAGTCTGGAAGACGTGCACAGCAAATGAGACCTCAGAAATGGATTCTTTTTTTTTTTTTAAAGCACCACCAGCTCATGGGAGCCATTACTGCTCAATTGATGTGCTCAGGTCCTGTAGAAACAAGGTAAAGCAAAGGAAATACTAAACAGAGACATGAAACAGAAACGTTGCTCCTGGTGGAGAAGAACAATCGCCTTTTCAGACACAAAAGGGTTTCGTTCCAATGGCAGTTTTGGGGAGAAAACAAAGTGTAGCTGAAGGGCTGAGGTTGCTGCTCAACAGGAGATGTGTATTCTGTGGCAAAGTATTCTTAAAAAGGGGTGCAGAGCTTTAAGATACGAGTTATTGAAGGATTGTGATGTGAAATGCAGGATCTAGTCAGCCTCCACGGTGTTTTCCACACGGCAGTAATGGGCTGCTCGGCTATCGGGACACTGACGGATGATTAACACTCGTTTTACTCCCTCCAAGGAAATGATTAAATAGTGATTCTGAGCACAAAAACAAGAGCTTCCTGTAACAAGCAACACGGCCGAGGGTTCAGAGATGCCTTAACCGCCGCTGACGAGCCAACGGCTACAATAAACCACGTCAGACACCACGGGCTCAAATAGTTTAGCTGAAGAAAATCCCATTTAACACGTCTTCACAGTGTGAAATATGCAAAACGAGGCCCGACGAGCTGCTGGTGTCGCGTGCGAGCGAAAGAGTTTATCATGAAAATCTAAAATCGTGGACGAACGGCGAATTTGTTTCTCCACTGCTGCAACGTGAACGAGACTTCCCCCAACAAATGGAGCCTCTCCGTTTAAACACGGCTCTCTGGGGCGACGAGGCAGGTCTGAGCGCTCCGCAGTGCACAAACCGTCGGGAATAAAGTCAGGAGAGAATCACGCGGCCGCACCAACAAGCACGCTTTTCATCCAGGCTTGATGAGATCACAAGCGATGACATTTCAGATTTAATTAAATATTGTTTCATTAGGATCTCAACCGGCCGAGCGTGACATTTAGATGGTATTTCTGCCAATAATGGCGCCGATTCAGACTGTTCCTTTCCGCCGCACCACTTCAGCGATTCCAGTAAATGTAATCGAATGAATTCCAGTCAGGTCCCGGCCTTCTGCCCCCCCCCCACGCCGAGGAGGAGAACGCAAACCCCTGGCGCCATGGTGCTTCGGTTCTGGAGCCGCGCAGACAGAGGGCCGTTAATCTGGGCGCTGCAGGTGAACGACCACCCGCCGCTTCGATACTTAACGCCGTCTCGTGAAGAGCGCTGAAAGAGCGCCTGGCTTGTGAGGTCAGAGTGACCTTTGACCAACGCATTCCGATCACGCCATCTTTGAGGGGAAGTGGATGTTCGTTTTTAGACATTTTAAAAGGCCGACAGACCTGAAAACAAAACGCGGAGCGCAACGCGGCGGCACAGAGACGCAGCTAAAATGAGCAACGCGCTTAGTTGCAGCGGCACTTTTGATGTAGGACGTCAGCTTGTTCGACGCGTGTCGTAGTGAAGTGCGGGCCTGGTCTCATGCTTCAGTGATCACCCTCCCTCATGCCGCCGCCAAGTCCTGGGTGTCGGCACTCTGAGGATGCGTGCGAATCCGACAGCGACTCGGAGCACACGGATCTTGTAGGCGGATGTCGGCGTGTCACGCTATTCCACACAGCCGCCTCCTCCTTAAATCCCGGTGCTGTGCTGCAGCGTCGCTGTGTGGGAACAGACACAACACCCAACCCCCCCCCCCCCCGCTGTGGCCAAACGTCTTGTGCACAGCGCGGTCTGAAGTCACACCGTTTAGCGACCGTTTCCTGCCGGCCTTCGCTCCGCCCCTGGAAAAAGTCTTGGGGTGTGTAGTTGAAATAATGTCACGAGATTTTGAACGAGCTTCATTCTCCCAAATGTTCACGATGACTCCGCTGCCGAGCCGAAGCAAAGGGACTTCAGTGAGGCTGAATGCTTCACCTGCACCTACAGGATAAGAGGGTTTCATTCCACACCGCGGGACCAGAGCCACGAGCTTCTCTACGGAACAATCCATCATTGTGACATCAATCAAGATAGCTGTGGCTTCATGAACGATAGCGCAGGGACGGGGAATCAAGAGTTGTCAAATCAGGCAAATACTGTGGCGAACTCGAGTGTTTTCTCAAGATTTCACAAATGTTATTGCGGGAACGCAAGAGCAGATCTTTCACTCAATCCCACCCCCCGCAGTGCGCCCGGCTACCCAGACGTCCTGACTGGAACCAATTCAAAGATTTGCGTTCACAGAGCTGATGGAGGGCCCTGAATTGTGCGCACAGAGAGGCCGGTCTGATGACGCGGAGTCATTCATGTGCGCCTAAACAAACTCCACCAGGGTTTTCTTTCCCTTCTGGCGGCTCTCTGGAGAGAACTCAAGTTACAAGAGAAGTTTGGCACCCCGTAGACAAGAGTGAGACGCAACATTTTACCTCCACCTGAGCGATCGACTCTTTTAATCTCCTAAAAGGGTCCCAGAAGGAAGCCTTCCATATAAAAATTGATCGGAGCGGCTGTGACACCAGGATTTACCCAAACGGTGCCCAACGCGGACGGCGGGTTTGAGGCAGCATGACTGTTCCTCTCCAAAGTGCTCTGACAGACACATGCACGACAACACGGAGGAGTCTCTGCTGAGCTCCTCGTGCTGCTAGTGAGGCACCATGCTGCCATCTAGTGGCCGCAGCACCAACAACACACACTATGTACTCCGGTCTTATACACCTAGAACCGTACAATACATCAACATGCTCCACATGTTCATACAAACAGGAACATATTCTAAAAGAGACTAGATCCACGTGATGCATTGCGGGACAGTAGCAGGGCATTAACTGTTGTTTTTAGGGTTTGTAGTTAAATGAGCGGCGCTGCATTTTAAAAATCACACCGCTGACACTCTGCAAATAAAAAGCAGCAAAATGAGTAAAAGCAAAAACACTTTACAAAAAGCAATTTAGTTGCTTTGGGATATTCAAGTATTTTGGGCTCCAGTGAGAGTTTCCAGCAGCAGACAACCATGGAAGTTAATGGCTTAGACCTTAGAGGAATCATAAATACCAAGCTCATTATTTTAATAAATTACTTGGTTTTGTTGAAAATAAGAAAAATGTAGAATATCACCAGCCGCGCCATTAAATTAAGCACCCGTCCTTTTAGGTTTGAAACTAATTATCTTCTCAGTGAGCTTGATAAAGCAAGATAAAAATCATAAACCAAATATGGATAAATTAAGCAGACGCCAGCAGCTTTTCACCCGAGTGATTCTCTGACTCATAATGAAAAAGGGGCGTTGTGCTGACACCAAGTGTAGTTCAAAGAAACCTTTCCAAAAGGCTGTTAGAAGACATCAATTTGCATTAATCAGCCATTAAACATATACTTACGGTTCACATGTAAGTGCTAAAAATAGATCAAAATGAGCATGCATCGATTACGGTGCCATTTAACACAGCAAACACATTTGGTTTGAGAGCAAATATCACACAATCATCTCGAAACTGCAAAAACGGGAAGCGTAACGTTAGAAAAACGACAGGATGTCAGTAAAAAGCCTCAGCGTGTCAATCGTCAGTACATGCCTTCCAAATTCAAGCACAACAACAACATGCACAAAAGGGTTTTGTTTTAGATCACATTCAGGTTTTGGAATGAAAGCTGGTCCTTCATTGGTACCCAGGGTTTGGGGAGGGTCACATGCATTGGAAGCATCACAGCGGCGGCTTCAATGGACGACCAGAACTGGACTAATGGGGTTAGTCATGTGTCCCGAGGGTCGTCATGCACACACAGATGGAGAGGCGGATGAACTACAAGTGATGTTTCACGGCAGACGCGGTAAGTTGTGTACGTACCCAGAAAGAGCCTCTTAAGGATTCTGATCTCCTCGTCCTTATTGTCTGTCGCTACGGCCGGAAAACAATGAAGAAATACAAAATAGACAGCACCATGAAATAAATAATCCATCACTCGGTGCGGTTTTTAGGGGGGAAAATAGATACTCACTTCCTGCCGAAAGCTTAGGGTTGAGTATTAGGCGGAATCCAACGATACAATACGCGTCATTCCGCTGAAAATATTTCTATTTGGAGACATACTACCATCTAAAATCTTAATTTATTATTTTCTGATCCTACACGTGGCAAAGTTAAACCTGCTTCAACAAGTGTTGAAGCAGGTTTAACAGGTTTATTCAGACACAAACAAACAAAAAAAAGCTGTCTAAGGAGCAGCCCGCTGGTCACTCACACCGGGCGGGGGGGAGAACTGCTCAAACGCTCTGATAACAACCACTCAGGCGTATTTACGTCTCTGCGGAACACCCACCCACGCACGCCAGCCTGCGCACATCCACTCTCACACACAAGCGCATCTCCATCACGCACCCGCAGCCCCTCGCTCTCAGACGCGCACTTTCATGCACATGACATTTGAAACCACACACACACTTTTGCACTGTAGTGCGGCCGAGGGGGGGGGGAAGCGATCCTGACCTACGAAGGAGCGCCTCTTGGTGTTCAGGTCGGAGGCCACGCGTACGTCGGTGCACAGGTTCAGCATGATGAGCATGGTGGCGATCATGATGATGCTCTGCCACAGCAGCAGGGTCTCGAAGTAGCGGCCAAATCTGATGGGAGAGAGAAAGTTGCATTAGAACAAAATGGGGTAACTTACTGACACGTAGGAGAAAATCAGATGGCATTCTTGATGAAACTATGGAGCTTCAGCAGCAGCCGCCGCCTTTTGTGCAATTGTAAATTAATGTATTTTTTCTCATGCAAAAAGCATCCAAGTTGGAGGAGGTCGTTACCGGAAGAGTATCCGCAGGATGTTCGCCACCAGGAGAACCAGGCACACGTACGTGGAGAAGCCCTCTGCATTCTGAGTCCGGCGGATGTCTCTGTACTGGGGGATGTAGGGCACCACCCCGCCGAACACCATGGCGCCGGCGGCCACCCACGACACCAGGCTGTGGAACGCGGACACGACCTGATCGAACACCTCATCTTCCATGTTCGGTCCGAAGGCGCTGGGCCAGGAGTTGTGAAGTGACGTCACCTCCGCTACGCAGCGTTGATACTCCTCGGGTTGCCTGGGGTGACGTTTTATTTATTTTATTTTTTTTTACGCGTAACTTAGTCCGTACGCGTGTCGAGAGGGAGCTGCTGCCACGCCATCACACGCCGACGTACAATCTGAGAACAACAGTCGTCGACGCGACACAACAACGCTCACCAACGGCGGCGGCGGTGGTTTCCAGTGGGAGCTAACGTTAGCTCTCGATCCGCTCATTACGTCCCATTTCCCAACACTTTTGACGCTGGCTTTCGTTTGTTTGCGCAAGCTGCGCTAAACTCAGCAGAATAGTTCCCGGTATTGCACAAAATGCCATAGGAATGGGCAACACACTTGTAAGTGGCATTCGTTAACGGACACGGCTCACGGAATTGGAACCGTTTATTCGTTGACTGGCACGTCACTGTGCAGCAGCTTCTTCTTCTTCTGCTTCTTCTTCTTCTTCTTTGGTGTTATTTGGCGGTCGACAAACCAGCTTAAAGGAGCAGCACCGCCACCAGCCGGACTGGGGTGTGAAGCAATAGATATATATTTGTATTTTATGCTAGTTGCCGTTAACTTATTCATTGTAATTGTGTACTTTACTCGGCCTTTTTCTAAAAAAAAATACAATATTCACTATTGTGTCATTATAGCACAGCCGTTGCGCTATGACTTGCCCACCACCCCCCTATTTCCGCCCGCTTCAGACAGAGCGCGCGAATGCACCCACGTCTCTCGGCTGCTCGGTTAGCCGTTAGCTTAGCGTCTTCCACTAGGTGCCTTTTAATAGAACCGGGGGGGTGTCCGCTGGCACACGAGTGGAGGATCTGAGATCTCTTGGCTCCGCATCTCCTATCCTCAATTCTCCGTGGACTACCGGCGACTTATATCTGCAATGGCGGACAAAGAAGGTAAGGCGAAAGCCTTTGTTGTGGTCAGTGTTTATCTGGCATATCTTCGCTAACGTTAGCTACCTGGCTAGCCTTGCTGGCAGCTAACGGTAGCTAGAGTAGCGCAGCAGCCGATAATAACAAAAGCCGGGTGGCTTTTTTTTTTTTTACTATTGTGGACAATAACAATCTCTATTTCTTGTTTTCACATCGGTTCTACATTTCCTACCTGATATAACGTTACGACGCTACCTTAGTTGCTAATGCGGCTTGCAGTTTGCGTTACGATAAGTAACGTAACGTTATGTTAGGACTAGCAAGAGCGTTATCCCGTTAGCCTCCTGAGCTAACTCCTGAAAACAAACTCCCATACCGGTAAACTCGCATACTGTCTCTGCATAAACAACATTAAATAGCTGTTGATCATCATCAAGTGCCATATAAATAATTAACTATATTGTTAACTCCTCACTGGTGGCTCACAACATTCATCTTGCATCCCCGGTGGAGGCTTTAATCTCTGACTCGCAGTTATTTATTCATCCTGTAATCCTCCCTCAGTCGGAGCGTTCGATGATGCAGTCGAGGAAAGGGTGATAAATGAGGAGTACAAGATCTGGAAGAAGAACACCCCCTTCCTGTATGACTTGGTTATGACCCACGCGCTGGAGTGGCCGAGCCTCACCGCGCAGTGGCTGCCCGACGTCTCCAGGTGACGTTGCACTTTGTACCAACAAGCAGCCGTGTGTGTGTGTGTGTGTGTGTGTGTGTGTGTGTGTGTGTGTGTGTGTGTGTGTGTGTGGTGAGAATGACATCAATAACAACGAAGCAAATGTTTTTCTCTCCTCACCAGACCAGAGGGGAAGGACTACAGCGTGCACCGACTGGTGCTGGGCACCCACACGTCTGATGAGCAGAATCACTTGGTCATTGCCAGCGTCCAGCTGCCCAACGATGACGCCCAGTTTGAAGCTTCGCATTATGACAGCGAAAAAGGAGGTGGGAGACTCTCGCTGTGAATTACACAATAGTTAATACATCGTTGATATTCTCTCTTTAATCACAATCCCTTGTATTTCCCTGCAGAGTTCGGAGGCTTCGGCTCAGTGAGTGGCAAGATCGAGATAGAAATCAAGATCAACCACGAAGGAGAAGTGAACCGTGCTCGCTACATGCCCCAGAACCCCTGCATCATTGCCACCAAGACGCCCACCTCAGAAGTGTTGGTGTTTGACTACACCAAGCACCCCTCCAAGCCAGGTACACTGATGCCACACACAACACAAGAAACCGATGACTGTAGCATGTGCTTTGGAAAGCCGAGGAGGAAACCAAGCACAGGCTGAAAAGCATTTTGTTCAACATCATCATCGGCGTCGCCGCGTACCAGCTTGTGTTGCGGGGAAAGAAAGGGACGTTTTGCATTTTTCTTCTCTTCTCGTCTGTCAGTCGATGCGTCAGGAGAGTGTCACCCTGATCTGCGTCTCAGAGGCCATCAAAAAGAAGGCTACGGTCTCTCCTGGAATCCAAACCTGTCCGGCTCTCTCCTCAGCGCGTCAGATGACCATGTGAGTGACATGTCAGATTTAATTTGTCCGTGTTCAACTATGGCATCTTGAGTTTTAATCTCCTCTTTTCTAATCCGCAGACAATCTGTCTGTGGGACATAAGTGCCGTGCCGAAGGAGGGGAAGATAGTCGAGGCAAAGACGATCTTCACGGGTCACACTGCCGTGGTGGAAGACGTCTCCTGGCACTTGCTTCACGAGTCACTCTTTGGATCCGTAGCCGATGACCAGAAGCTCATGATGTGAGGAGCTGAAGTCTAAATCTGCCAAACAGAGGAAACGGTTCACTTGGAAAAGTTTTGGTATCTTCCATCTCCACAGTCCATGAAAATATTGTCTTTTTTAACCCCCCCCCCCCCTTCAGTTGGGACACTCGTTCGAACAACACCTCCAAACCGAGCCACGCAGTGGACGCGCACACGGCAGAGGTCAACTGTTTGTCATTCAACCCGTACAGCGAGTTCATCCTGGCATCCGGCTCGGCAGACAAGGTAATGGAATATTCCGCCGCTTTCACTGAATAAATACAGATTATATTGTTGCCGTTCTATTAGAAAATCTGGCAGGTATGCGTCATATGTCTCTCTCTCCTGCTCGCAGACCGTGGCTCTGTGGGACTTAAGGAATTTGAAACTGAAGCTGCATTCCTTCGAGTCACACAAGGATGAGATCTTCCAGGTGTGATATTTTTCCCTCGTGGTATTTTATTGAAATAAGAAAATATGTACAGAGTCATTTTGATCACAATGATGATCAAAAAAATGTTCCTGGTTCTTTGAAAAACGTCTCTTATAGAAGTTATTATGAAGACAATAATCAACACTCCCCACTGTGGTGACTGTTGCGGGGAGGGTTTTATTTTTGTACGTCTGTCGCTATTTACGGACCTGCCTGTACTTCTGTCCGTTGCAGGTCCAGTGGTCTCCTCACAATGAGACCATCCTGGCATCCAGCGGAACGGACCGTCGCCTCAACGTCTGGGACCTCAGGTACACAACTCGACTATTCTTCTACTGCGGTGCGTTCAGGCTCTCGTTGTGGTTGCCAGAGATCTTCTCGTTGATGTTGGTTTATTCACACCGTGACATTGGGATCAAGTTTGACCCGTCATTTCTGTTTTTATTTAATGTATATAGTAAAATCGGAGAGGAGCAGTCACCAGAAGATGCGGAGGACGGTCCACCGGAGCTTCTGGTGGGTCCCGTTGAAGCCTGCTGAGATTCTGAATTATTGGGAAACATCTGCTTGCATCATGATAATGAAAACGTGGTCTGTTCTTCTATCGACCAGTTCATCCACGGAGGCCACACCGCTAAGATCTCCGACTTCTCCTGGAATCCCAACGAGCCCTGGGTCATCTGCTCGGTGTCTGAAGACAACATTATGCAAGTCTGGCAAATGGTAAGGCGGCGGTTCAAGGCGTACAGAAGACCATTCAGAAGATAATGAACTTTGCTAAAACGTCTTTATGGCTGTGCTGAGGTAGATGTCGGGGAAACCTCGGAGTTGAGCCCTTCGCAGTCTTTTCTTTGAAACATTTGGCTCTCTTAACCCCCCCCCCCCCCTCCACCGTTTAACTCTTTCTTGACTCATAACCACATACGAATCCAACTGATTGAAGCCGGTTGTCTTTCCTCAGGCCGAGAACATCTACAACGACGAAGACCCGGAGGGTTCGACGGACCCCGAGGCCACAGCGTAACTCTCTCAACCAACCACCTCATCCCGAACCGCCATCTTCTGTCCTTCCACGTGGCTCCTTCCTCCCACCTGTCCTCTCTCTGTCACCGCGGGACGCCGAGCGCTGCGAATCGCTGTAAATACTAGAAAACGAAGGATCGCGCGCGTCGTTTTTTGAATACTCGCAGTGAAGAGCTCTCCTTTAACTGAGTAACTTATTTCATGAACAATCTCACTTGTCCTTTTTTTTTTTCCGCACACTGCGTATAAAATATATATTTTTGTAATCAAATTGGCTCTCCCTCATTAACATTTTTGGATGTTTTAGCAAAGTCCTCTTCATTGATAGATGGAAAAAGTCAGACATTTTTTAAAGGACTAAGAAAGTAATTGAAAGTGTAAACAAGTCCCTCTGCAGTAAATGTTTTCTTTGATACCTGAAGGTCCTAAAAACATCTCATCGTTCCACCGCATCAGTCAGGTCATCACCTAATTGTTTAGGTCCTGAATGAAATAAAATACATAATAAAAGTCCAATATTTGTGGTCCCGCCTTCCCTCACCTTTGTGCTTCACTAATCATTTGTCGTGATATAGATTAGCGGTTGAACTTTTTCTATGTTCAATATTTTGTAATTGTACAGTGAGTACATTCTTAATAAAATGTGTTTCATTGGTCTTTGGCTGCGCTTGTTTGAACTATTGTACAATGGAACGTGTTACTTGCATATTTCACTAATCCGGTCAGTGCTTTGCTATTACGGGTATTTTTAAACCACCTTTAAAAATAATCCTCCCGGTGAGCGAGCCGGCTGCGCCTCGTTGCTCTTTGCTCTTGTGTCCCACTGTTCAGCCCTTATACGTACAAGAACCCCTCACGCTGACACGTTAACTCACAAACGACTTTTATTCCTAACAAAAATCCCCCCTGCTGCTCCAAGCAGACAGCAGCATGTCACAATGTGTGCGTAAAGTGCATGAACCGAAAAGTGGAGTTCGCTACATCGCGGATGCAATCATCACAGAGCTGTAGTGTGTTTTTGGACGTCATGATTCCTCCTCGTTGTCGGACTCGTTGTGCTCCTCGATGGCGGCCCTGTAAGAAGAAACGTTTCAATCGAACGTTTCAACCCCCCCCCTGCAGGATTTCCTCGGCCTGATTCAGGTGAAGCCATCTCACCTGTAAAGGTGCAGGCGTTTGTCCAGGCTGTCTCTCAGCTCCTCCACCTCTCGGGTTTTTCTCTTCTGGATCTTTAACTCCGTCCTCAGCTCTCTGCTGCTGTCCTCCAGGCAGGAAACCGCCTCCTGTAAGAAAGGCTCATCTTCAGTGCTTTGTGTGTCGGGGTTACTGACGCACGGGTGAAGCGATCTGTTTCATACTCGCTCACTTTATACTGCCCCACTTCCTCCCGCCGCTGGAAGTGAAGCAGCTTGAGCTTCTCCTCCAGGCAAGCCCTCTGCAAGTTCAGCTTCTGGGTCTCCTCCTTCAGGGGTCCCAGCTGGGCCTTCAGCTCCCGGCCTTGTTCTTTGGCTTTCAGCAAGGCCACGGCCGTTGCCTCCCTTCTCTTCAGCAACGTGAGCAAGATGGGTTCGTACCTGGTGGAGAGACGCATTTACAATGTAATGAGTCTGTAAACCCGTTTGAACCACGTGACAAAAGCATCCAATCAAATGAGGGTTTGAGCAACGACGCCGTGGCCGTGAAAGCGCTCCTCGCTGACCGTGTGTGCTTGCTGCTAACAGGAATGTGCAGCGCGAGAGGACGAGGTGCGTGTTTGCAGAGCAGCGAAACCTTTTGTTTTCATTTCCAAGACTAACTGACCGTGGTCTGATCTATTCAGCGGGAACATCGGCGCTGCGTGCAGGCCCAAGCAACCAGCTGTTTGTTTCTCCTGCGTGTGAGCGAGACTCTGGGGAGTTTCAAATTCACCAACGTGTATTTCAAGCCATTTCTTACCTGACTATCGCACGTTTTTCTTAAGCTGCATTTGCATTTTTAAGTGTAAAAAACATGACGAAAAGGTGATTATCCTGTGATGTGTGCAGAGGTTTCTAAGCTGCTGCACAGCGACAGCACCTGTCCTCCAGCGCCTTCAGCCCTCCCTGCAGATACTGCTGGAGGTCTGCACAGGACTGCCTTCTGCACTCCGCCAGCTCCTCCTGGGTGCTGGAGGTCGGACTGGAGGTGCCGGCGTGCAGCGCCGCCTGCAGGGCTGAGACCTGCTGCTGCTGAGCCGCCCGCTGCCGCGAGCCCTCCTCCGTCAGCTGGAGCGCCAGCGACTGCAGCTTCTCCTGGAAGGAGAAGGAGGGAAGTTCTGTTATGGAGGGTTTTACCTCTGAAATGCACGGAGAAGATCTTTGAGGAGTCTTCCTACCTCCTCTCTCCTCAGCAGCTCCACCTCGCGCCGCTGGTGGTTCAGGGCGGCCTGGTTGTGCGCGCTGTCCCTCGCCGCGGCGAACAGTCTCCGCCTGAGCCTCATGAGCTCCTCGTGCAGCGCCTGCCTCTCCAGGTTCACCTTCCACAGCATCCTCTCCTCCTTCGCCCTCTCCGCCCTTAAGCTCTGAATCTCCTTCTTCTTGTCCTCCCTCTTTCCCTCCTCCTCCCCCTTGAATGCCTTCATCAGCTCCACCACTTTGCTGTCAACTGGCTCGTCGCCTCCATCTGACTCGCCGTCTTTAGTCCCTCTCAGCTCCAGCACCTCCGTCAGCAGCTCCTTCCTCCTCCTCTCCAGCCGCTGCACCTGCTCGATGCACTCCTCCATCTGACACCCGAGGGCGCCTAGATCGTTCACACCAGGACCCGGTGCGACGGTGTCCATCCGGAGCTCTTTGTCTACTTCAACCCCACCCACTTCTCCCTCTGTGTGGGTGCCCTCGTTCGTGGCCATGTATCCCGTCATGGCCGCCTCGCAGCTCATTGGATCATTCCCCGTGGAGACCAATGGCGCCGGAAAGCCGAACTGAGGATCAAGAACCCGTCGGTCTCGCCATTCCAGTGATTTCATTGAGAAACCATCCATGTCTTCACATGCGGGCAGGCGACTCCGCCGGCCTCCGCCGGCCGCCGAACCCGCTGTTTCCCTGCAGCCTTCGTCTCCCCCGAAGCGCCGACCGCACCAGGGCTCCGATTGCATCGGCTGCGTCGTCTCCAACGCCATCGGGCTCTCTCGCTCCACCGGCCTGGGAGGACGGGCGTTCTTGCCGATGTGTACGTATTCCTGGCCGGCGTCCGGAGAGCAGCCTTGGGGCTCGAAGTCCATGCCGGATTCCTCCATGGAGCTCTCCAGCATGGCCAGCATCCCCAGGAGCTGACCCTCGTACGCCACCATGGTGTCGCTCAGCTGGTTTCCCGCCGAGGTGAGAGGCATCTCCTTTTGGCGGGAAGCCGCCGGGGTTACGCCGCACCTGTTGCCAACGTCGAGCGAGACATGCGACCCGTCTGGTGCCTCGGGCCCGTCGGCGTGCGTGTCCATGTAGCTGGTGGAGAGGTACGCCCGCGGACAAGCGCTCGTTTCTCCACAGCCGTCCGGAGGCGCGCCTCGGCCCTCGCCGTGGCTGCGGGGGGATTCGGCCGAGCTTGTGCTGCCGTGAGCCGCTGGGAAGCGAGAGGCGAAGGGGACGCCGACGAGCTCCTCGCAGCTCTTCAGCAAGTCGTCCATCTCCCGGAGGTACGGCTTGATCGGAGGCGACTGATCCCGCCGCGCTCCCCTGTAGGCGGGGAGTCCGGACCGCTCCGAGCGGGTGCTCCCCGGAGCCGCGTCCTCTTCTTCGATGAAGAGCGACTCGAACCCCGATGACCTGGAGCCGTCCTCGTCCATGGGCACCAGCTCGATTCCTGCAGCCGCCTCGTCCCTCGACAAAAAGCACACGGACACGTCAGACAGCACATTCAACGCGACAGCTGCAGTCGTTGACGCTTCTGCGTCACGTCGCACCTACAGGGCCGGGTTCATTCCTTTGCCCCCCGGTATGCAGATGGCGTTAGCGCGTGTACAGCGGGGAGGGGAGGGGGGGGGGGTCAGGGGGGGTCAGATGGTAAGCTACGAGCAGCTGTCCGGCAGGGCGAGATGCCACGGACACCAACAACCAGACAAGGCCGCTCACGCCGGGCACCGCACCACCACTCGGATAAACACCACCTGAAGGCCCGAAGCATCCAATCATGTGGTTGTGCTGATGAATGGGCATTTGCCCCCCTGCCCCCCCCCCCCCACCTTGTGAATAATGCAGCTGTAATTTCACCCTGTGAGGTGTTTGCCAAGGCGCTCCACAGACGGATCGAACGGACCCGTGCGGGACATTTCACTGCTTTATGCCTCCAGCTCGGCGTCTGAAGTCGTATCATGAAAGAATAATGCGTGCGAGTGCAAAACTCCGCGGGGCTGGATAGTGTTGTGCTTTATGCATGGCTGCAGCTCCAGGGAAGACATGACTCTCAGCTGCTGTCCTGCCGCAGGCCGCGCTCGGGCACAAGTCACATTCCATTAGACCTCCGGAGTTATCCGAGCGTTCTGAAATTTCCTCCTTTTTAAAGATGAATGACGTTCCCTGAAAGCTTCCCGATTCGCCTTTCGTTGCTTTGTGTTATTGAGGAATCAGTGAGCGAGTTATTCCTAAGCTGGCCGGACTCCATTTTGATCTTATTTCCCATTCAAATTTTAATCAGTTGTGACAAACAACGTAAACGTGAAAAACTCCATTGCACTCACCTGTAAATACGCGTTACGGTTGTGTTTTTCCGAGCGTCGTCCTCAGCATGAAGCCGCCAGAAAGACGTCGAGGTTCCAACAACAAAGCAAAGAGTGAGCGGGAGAAGTGTGTGTGTGTGTGTGCACATGAACTTAGACAGTTGACCCAGCCTCCTCCCTCCCTCCCCCTCTCCCCCTCCCTCTCTCTCTGTGCCATGTGTGACCATGACTACCTCCATTCTGTTTAGGTATATTAATAAAATCTGGGCCTGGCAGAAAGAGGAGACACTGCCGGCTGTTTCAACCCGAGAGGCATAAAGGATGCGGCCTGAAACCTGTTTGTCTCATTTTATCTGTTGGAAGATGCAAAATGAGCTTCACAACAACGTCCCTGAGAGTGGTTTTTATTCTTAAAGAACCTCCTTAACTGTAATTGTCTCGCAGTGTAATCTTCCATATTTAAAAAACAACAACAAATAAAGATAAGGAGAAAATTTTGGCAGAAGGTGCAGCTCATAAACGTCACTTGGTTTTACCTTTACAATGTAGGCAGATACACCCGGGTTTTTTATGGCTGTTGACAGGTGTGTGAAGGGTTTATGGTGTGTGTGTGTGTGTGTGTGTGTGTGTGTGATGAAGGAGAACATGGTCAGAGATTCCCCCCCCCCCCCCCCCCCCGGGCCCCTCCTTATCGAGGGGTCTTTTAATAGCAGCCCTCACTTTTCCCGCTGCCTTCCCGGGGGGGGGGGGGGGGGGGGGGGGGGAATTTTTTTTCCCCTAAACTTGTGACCCCCAACAATGCAGCACAGGTGGTCTTCTGCGGTCTGAGGGCACAGAAGAAGAACGCTGCCATGTGGAACATGTAGAAGATTTCTCAAATACTGCACGTCTTTTTATTTTAGTTCATCGTCATCCATTTTAATGGTTTATATGTTGTCTCAAATGTTTGGTTGACAAGACTTTTTAATTAAAAAGAAGGCGGACCAAACTCCGTAGAATAGGGGGTCCTTGCTCCATCTCGCCGTCGACCATGGCCTGAAAAAACGTTGAAGACCCCTGTGTTAATCTATGAGAACACATATGACAGTCACACACCACTAGATGGCCTCATAGTTTAATCCTGACTCCTCTCGTCTCCACATTACAGACATGATCACTGTGCTGCGGTTTATAACCTTTCACGTCTGTGTATGTCTTATTTTTTACTCCACCAAGTTACTTGGTTTCTTTAAAAAGAGCCGTAGAGCAAAAAAGAGGATGATGCACTGTAGTGAACAAAAAGGTCTATGGTTCATTCCCCACAAATCATAGTATTTACAAGATAATTTTCTCCTAAATAAACTTTTATTTGCAGTTAACACCACATGAAATAATGAGCGCTCCATTGCGATTCAGTGCTCGCGTGATAAGATCAGGTCACTCGTGCTCAAGAAGAGACGTAATGTTGATCTAGTTCCCCCTGTAGGGCGGCTGTGACTCTGTTTTCGTCTTAGTCTGGGCTTTGGGAGGTTCGGGGATTCACAGCAACACTGTACCGCCGGGACCCGGAGAGACTCTGAGACTCTCCCTCACTTCACTTCCACAGGAAAAACATCACATTTCTTCTAATTCCCTCCGCAGAGAATAGACAGATCACCCGTGCGTGTTTCTGTGTTTCTGTCCTCTGCCCCAACTCACCAGGACGTCCTGTCAGCGTGTCTTCCTCCTCCTCACTTTGTGGTGTTTGTAGCCGTCCACTGGGCCCTCTGTGTTCTGAAGGGATTGTTTAATATGGGGGGGGGAGCCGAAGCTACAGAGCAGGTCCCAAAAACGCACAAGGACACGAATAAGGACACATGCAAACGCCTCAGCTGATGCAGACGGACCATTTGCATGTGTTTGTTTGGATGTGGGTGGCACGGTGGCGTGGTGGTTAGCACTGTTGCCTCACAGCAAGAAGGTCCTGGGTTCGATTCCGCCCAGTGGCCTTTCTGTGTGGAGTCTGCATGTTCTCCCCGTGTCTGCGTGGGTTCTCTCCGGGTTCTCCGGCTTCCTCCCACAGTCCAAAGACATGCACTGGGGATCAGGTTAATTGGGGACTTTAAATTGCCCGTAGATGTGTGAATGTGAGTCTGAATGGTTGTGTGTCTCTGTGTAGCCCTGCGATTGGCTGGCGACCAATGCAGGGTACAACCAATCCAGGATGTACCCCGTCTATCGCCCGAAGTTGGCTGGGATGGACTCCAGCCCCCCCGCGACCCTGTGTGCAGGATAAGCGGTTTGACAATGGATGGATGGATGGATGTTTGGATGTGACCATCAAGAGACAGGGGCTGAAAATCTCCACTCTGAAGAAGAGACTCCGAGATGTCCAGATGGTGGTTAAATATCACGCGGCAGAAGTTCAGAAGCTCTCTGAAGGAAAGCTTATACTAGTAGGAAGGCAGATCTCCTGAAGTCCACCAACGTCGACCTTGAGAAGTGCCTCACGGAGAGCAGAGGTCTCCTCACAAGCACGACAACTGAACTCGCCCAGATTCAGACAGGCTGTAGAGACAGACCCTGAGGAGAGAGTAGGAGGTTCTGAAGGGAGAAAGCACGATTCTGGAGAGAGCCTTCTGTGCCGAGAAGATGAAAAGTGAGCGACTGGAGGAGGATCAGCAACTCCTGGAGGACATCTGGCTCCTCATACTCATACTGACAGTATGAGTGACAGTGTGTGAGACACTGTATGAGAGAGACAGTCTGTGGGACAGTGAATGCCCCCCCCCTTTCTAACTCTGCTTCCGCCCCCCCCAAAAATCCCTTCTATCCACCCTCTCTGCCATCTTATCTAATCCCCCTCCTCAAGTATCTCCTCCGGTCTTACTCTTCTCCCTCCAGCTCCTTCTGGTGCCTCCATCCTTCGTAAAGGCTCCCAGACGTAACGTTAGCGTGCAGATGTGTCCATTCAGGGATGTTAACGGGACGGAAATGTTGAGCTTGAGGTACTTCAGTAGATATTAACAGAGCTTCATGACTTTTTAGAGCGTAAATGTGTTATTAATCCCCGTTGTTTCCAGAAATGCGTTCGCCAGCTCTCTTAATTAGAAGTTGCACGATGGCCAATCCTGTTATTTTGATGAAGATGTGAGAGAGGTCACCTCGGGTTTCCTGGCTGTGACGTCAGGGCCTCATTTAAACGCCCCCCCGACCCCCCGGAGAGATTGAAAACAGGCTGATGGCTCCTCTGCGAGGGCACAGAGGGAGAGACAATGGAAGAGAGAGAGGCAGATGGTCGGCTGGATGGAAACTTTGCGGCCTGTTTTCGTCCCGTCCCAAACAACCCCGAAAGCAACCACACCCGCTCAGGAATTCAGAACAATAATTCATGTCGTGTTTTTAAAGGGGCAGTTTGCTGTTGGCGATTTTTGCGCGTGAAGATGTGACTTTTGCAGTCGAGAGCCTGGTTTTGTTCACTATGTGTGGACTTAAGTCTGTTACGACAAAGGAAGAGTGGAGGAAAAAGAAATGAAACAGTTGCCCCGCCTCAGTCCAAGAAAAACAACGTTGTTCTTAATATAAAATATCTTACATCTCTGCCTCAATGTGTCCTCGTGTTTTGAGTAAATTGTGTGTATAATATTGAGTGTTTGTCTTCACGCATGAGGAGGTTTACAAAATGTTTTTTGGATGGAAGTGATTCTTAGCTTCGCAATGAATGTGTTAACTCTTAAGATTCTCCCACTGCCGGAGTTTTGGGGGGTTTGGCTTTGTTTGCCAGTGGAGCCCTCATTGCCCTAGTCGTCTCAGGCGTCCGTCTCTTGCACAAAAAACGTCCCCCGGAGGCACCGTAAAGCTCCCTTCAGCGCTTCGGCCCGTGTCTTTCTCTTGTCCTCGTGTCCCCCGCGTCTCACACCCTCCAGAGGCGCGACCCGACAAGAATTTACTCCACCGTCTCCCTCTCGTCGTGGAGGAACGTTATATTATAAATGTCTTTGCTCCTCCATTGAAGGCCGGTCAGAGGACGCCGTCTGTCCGTTCTTTCACCTCCTCCGTTCTCCATTTCTTGGCTCTTCCTCGCTCTTCATCTACTTTGGTTTATGCTTTTGTTCAGTCCTCAACCCCCCCTTTTTTTTTATGTTCTCGACCAGAACTCACTGGCAACTGAGACTGTAACGTCCATTCCAGTCGCCGGCCGGTGAGACAAAGCTGTCCCTGTTGCACAGAGGAGCCTGTGCGTCTCCCAGTATCAACCTGGAACCGCTCCCTCTTCTCTCTAAAACTATTATTACTGCTCTCCGTCCTCATTCCTCCTTCCATCACCTCCCTCTCCAACCCTCCCCTCCCCGCCGTTATAAATAGTGGACTGCGGAATGCAACTTTGGGGATTTTTTTTTTTTGTTCTGTGTCTTTCTTTTCTCACAAATGTCTGTGAGGATGCACTGCAGGGTGAATGTGCACGCGCTTGTTGTGAAGGTAAAACATGTGCAGTCGGGGGCCTGTCGGGTGTATTTTAACAGGGCTGAATGCTGTTGTTGAAGTGAGTGGACGGGGGAGAAGCAGTCGGTGCAGAAAGAATGTGTCTGTTGCCGGACAAAGGCAGGTTGGGGAATGGCAATGCGGGTCCGAGAGGGACGGGCTTATCCCAACCGGTAGTGTGGATTTCCTGCCCGCAGCCTCCTTTCAGTCACATCTCCCACACACACACACACACACACACACACACACACACACACGCACCCAAGGTTCACGCAGCTGTTATTACAGTGATGGTGCCATCTGTGTGTTGTGCGATTGGTCGGTCCCGAGGCTTCAAATGTCCTTGAGCAAAGTGGCGTACTCCTCCAGTAGAATGTTTTCATACTTGGACTCTTTAATCGCTCATAGAGAGGTTACGAGAGGATGCGGGAGGCAGATATAGTTTCGCGCGTGATGTTTTGCGCGTCAAGAGAGTCAGTTTTCCGAATGACATATTTCACATTTTTATGCTAAAACTGCTAAATGACTTTCTGTCTGTGTAGAAGGATATTTTAAGTGGACTGATATCAAATGATTAGCTCACAATTAAAACAAGATCAAATCAATATTTGTGCCCCACCATTGCCTTCTGTAAAATGTGCCCTGTGCTGGCCAACGCAAACAATACAAATCCAGTCACTGTTTACCCAAAGTTCTTATTCCTCTATTTCACAATTTGTTCA